GCCCTTTGTTGAGCATATTTACTACCTCTTGCCTCAAGGCAATGCAGTCTTCGGTTTTGTGGCCTCGTTCCTAGTGGAATTCACAAAGGGGGTTTGATTTTCTGGTGTTTGGGTCGGACTTCATCTTTTGTGGCCATTTCACCTTAGGGCCGATCTTCTCTAGAGAGTAGACTATCTCTGAAGGAGAAACAAAGAAGTTATGAGCAGATAACAGTGGAGGCATACCTCTTTCACTTCAATGAGTCCATGTTTGCGACCTAGGTGAGCCGTCACCATGACGGGGAGGTGGTACGGTGGCCGTTCTGGTTTACGGCTAGTGTCTTTAGCGATTGAGGCGCGGACCTGTATGATCCCTCCTGTTGTCGTTTCTGCAGTCCTTTCTCGAGTCCATCCGGACTGATGTCAGCCGCTAGGTTAGCCCATTAAGCTCGTCCTCATCCGCTCTCACCTCGGCACAATAAGTGTTATGTATTTCTTCCTACGTGGTAGGAGGTTGCTTTATAAGTCTACTCAACAGTCTTTTGTTTGCCCTCGACCCGTTCCTATTCAGCCCGTTTTGGAAAGCTGCTACTGCCATCCCCTCTGATACGTTTGGAAGGTTCATTCTCACTCTGTTGAACTGGGCGAGGAAGTCCTTGAGCCCTTCTCCAGGTGACTGTCTGATGGCGAATATGTCATTCACCCTGGCTTCCGCTTTCTTGGTCCCTGCATGGGTGGTGATTAACTTGTCGACCATTTGTTCAAATGTCTATATGGACAGTGCGAGCAGTTGTGAGTACCATGTTAATGCTCCCCCGGTTAGTGTTTCACCAAACTTTTTCAGCAATATAGATGGCACTTGCTCTTTAGCGAGGTCGTTACTTTTCACTACGGTGACGTAGTGGATGATGTGATCCTCAGGGTCCGTTGTACCATCGTATATCTTAAGGTATGGTGGCATCTTGAATGTTTTGGGTATAGCATGAGGTGCGGCCTCGTCTTTATACGGTTGCTCTACAAACTGACCAGTGTCCCACTTTGGTAGGAGTTTTGGGGTGCCCAGTATCTTGTCTACCCTTTCTTGATGCTCTCTCATTTGGTCGTGGAGTGCTTTATTCTCATTCTCCATCTTCTCCATCTTTCTAAGGATGGCAGCGAGGGCATCGTTACCTACATCATTAATAGAGTGAGTGATACTTGTCGAAGGAGGCTGGGTGTGTTGCTTATTGGTTGTTGTGGTGATGTCGACTCGCACACCCTCTCTGCTTACCCTCTAAGCAGGTTTGTCGAGTATATTGTTCAGCGTATTCTTTAGCCATGCCTCCGTAGCTTTTTTACTACTGGTGGTGCTTCTTCCATAGTGGGCTTAGAGGCTCCCTTCCCATGAGAAGCAGTAACGCTGCCATGACGGGGGTGAATCATTACGCCTAGGTGAGGTATTTGGTGTCACGTTCTCCTCGTCCTCTCCATAAGTTTCATTGATGGTATTTAGGAAATTAGTAGTAAGGCCTGCCACTGCTTTTAGTCTTTCTTATCCATTTCCTACCATGTTAGATTATGCAAGTGGGGGAAAGAAAGTCCTGTATTTTGCTATTAGTATGTTTATGTAGATCTAGAAAGACTATGATTTTGACTAGAAAGTCCCCAGTGACGGCGCCAATTTGTTTGACCAAAAAGTATGGCACTCTTTGTTAAACTAGTTAAAGGATAAATACGGTGAAAGGTGAATTCTAGTCAAGCATAATAACTCTTAGATCTAGCTAAGTGCTAAATGGCATCGTTTATTTAGTGTATGGAGTCGATTATCAGATTATTAAGTGTATGCTTTTAAGAATAAATTAAGAATGAATGATGAGCAATAAATATGGGAAATGGCAATAAATGTAAATAGGGGTAACGATTCACCCAATTGTTGAATGATGTGGAAGATTCCTCCTCCTAACAATAAAGTGTGGCAATCAATAGGAAAATGAACAATGCCTCCTTGGATCGTGTGAATAGAAAGGAAGCATAATTGACAAAATCAATCACTATGGAAAGGTAAACTTTTGTATTTTCTCAAGAGTCAACTTCTTACAGTAGTTTTCTTTAGAATGAATCTCACGTGCCCTTTTTCTTCTCCCTCTCTTTCTATTTATATGAGATATTCTCTAAAAACCCTAAAAAGTACAACTTCAGGACAAAATTCTTGTCACTAGTTCCAAGACTACACTAGTCGTTATTCCTACTCTTCACTACTCGACCTCGGCCTTTACGGCTTGCTCAGCGACTACTCGTTGTTGGGCTTTGGTCGACCTTGCCTTGTCCGCCCAAATCGAAACACAGTCTTCTCACTTAACGATCTTCACACGCCTAACTTCCTAAGCCAGATTTTGACCCATACAATTTGCATGTTTGGTTATAATATTCTCCTTCTGTTTCAATTAAAATGACACACTTTCCTTATTAGTTCATTCCAAAAAGAATGACACATTTTTCATATTTGGAAACAAAACTTTTTATTTTACCAATTTTATCATTGATAAGAAACTTTTATAGCCGCACAAATGTCATGATCCGACAAAGTTTTTGCCCCTTAAACTTTTAGGATCACGTATTTCAAAAAAAAAAATTCTTAAACTGCGCTAAGTCAAACTACATCATTTAAATTGAAACTGAGGAACTGCGCTAAGTCAAATTACATCATTTAAATTGAAACCGAGGAAGTAATGATTAGTGAAGATCAGAAAGTAATACCAGAGCAGCAGCATTAAGATTTACTATCACTAATGAGTTCACTTAATTAACTAAGGAGTAAGGATTAACAATTACCAATACCCTAATTAGTACTCTTGCAATATTAATGTTATGATGATTTGTGAGTGTGAATAGGAACCCACCGGCCACCCTAAGTCATTGCGTTTCAATAAAGTCGGCGCGTCGTGTCGTCTCTTTCAGTTTCCACCACACTCCTTGTCAAAACGCCAGCAGAAAATTAGGAAGCAAAAGATTAAGACCAAAAAAAATGGGAATGGTTGAAGAAGCTCACAACGTTAAAGTTCTAGGCTCAGGCGAGAAGACCATAGTCCTTGGCCATGGATTTGGCACTGACCAATCTGTCTGGAAACACTTTGTCCCGGAAGAGTATCGATCAAAATCGAGTTGTACTTTACGACAACATGGGTTCTGGACCGACCAATCCTGATTACTTCGATTTTGATCGATACTCTTCCCTTGAAGGTTATGCCTACGATTTACTTGCCATTTTGGAGGAGCTTCAAATCAGTTGTTGTATGTACTTAGGACATTCCTTATCTGCCATGACCGGTGTTGTTGTTTCCATATTTCGTTCGGATCTCTTCTCCAAACTCATTCTTGTTTCAGCTTCCCCAAGGTGAATTCTCGTCCCATTTCCCCTACAAATTTTAAATTACTTCAACTGAAATAAACCCCAGAGTTAGTTAATTACTACTAGTACTTAATTATTTACAGATTGAGGTGTTGAGAAAGAGAGTGGTATGAGTACCAAATGAAAGAAAAAAAAATACTTTTAAACATTTTTGGTACTAGCTGCTGGGTGAAAAGAAAGAAAGTTTATAATTTTGGAGAAAATTGATAAATTATTTATTTATTAAAAATTAAATATATTACTTTAAATTTTGATTTGAAAGCATAGTTTTCAAGTGCCTGTTCCAAAGGATTATATTTATTAAGGGGTCGTTATCCATGAGATTATTTATCCCACTTCGGATAGTTAACAATCATTTTGGTGTAAAATTTATGCCGATATTAACTAATATCTAGCACCAAAACATGGTATAACTATACCTCAAATTTTATAGCGGAATTAATATCCTTATACCAGTAATCAAACAACCTATAACAGTTTTATCTGTACAGGTATCTAAAAGCTTTACAAACATTAGTCTTTTGTTGTGTGTAAATTGAACTTCTTCTTTTCACCTCGCAATGACATAGTAACTAGGGGTAAAATTCCTTAAGGACAGTAAAATACTCAATCCAAGTCCCCCTTTTTTTTTCGGTTCATGTGAATTTTACACCAACATAGTTTCTGTTAGGTTCATAAATACGGATTACTATTATGGAGGATTCGAGCTGGAAGATATAGCCCAACTGTGCCAAGCAATGGAGTCAAACTACAAGGCATGGGTATCTGGGTTTGCGCCATTAGTGGTGGGAGGTGACATGGATTCAGTGGCAGTACAAGAATTCAGCAGGACATTGTTCAACATGAGACCTGACATAGCACTGAGCGTTTTCCGCACCGTTTTCACGTTTGACCTAAGGCATTTTCTGTCCCGTGTTACTGTGCCTTGTCATATTATTCAGAGCTCAATGGACGTTGCGGTGCCGGTGACGGTTGCCGAATATTTACACCGAAATCTGGCCGGCAAGTCTATTGTGGAGATCATGTCAAATATTGAAGGTCATCTTCCGCATTTGAGCGCACCTGAGGATACTATTCCCGTGTTGCTTCGGCACATTTCTCATGACATATATACCTCTGATGCTGCTTAAAATATTTACACATACGAGTATGATTACTAATTTACTATTTGTAATAACATTCCTATTTGTCTGAACTTGTCATGAGTAAATAAAGTGAATGAAAATATAGGCGGCAAGTCAGTTGTTGGAGTATCCTATAGAGGAAATGTTGGAAATCTGATAACGTGTACAGTTCTACTCTATATAAGAAAGAAGTTTACTGAATAGTGGAATGTTTTTACCTTAATTTATTTTCTGTACCTATCATTTTCTGGAGGTTCATTAATTACGACATATACAGCATCCTTTTCAATGTACATGATAGTGTTTCTACTTTATATGTAACTAGTTTTTCAGCACGTACGTGTGTGCTTGATCATGGAGTAAACAGTTTGTAAAATAAAATTGATACAGCTAAAGCAGAAGTTTTGAGTAAATAATTATACATGAAGAACAAAATAAATTAAAAAAACTCTCATCAATGTGAAGCTCAACGCAACAAAGTAGTCTTCGAACAATAACAATTCTTCTGATATATAATATTTAGCTTGATCACTATTTCCTTGTTTTGGAATATTTCAACAAAAAAATTTAAATGTGAATATGAGTAACATCAACTATGATGGAAAATATTTCATGTCTCAAAGTTTCTGCCATGTTTTAAGTAATTGTAGCCTCCCAAATTCGTATCTAAAAATCTCGGTGGACAAGCACATTAGCTTATAATGAGAACTAGATGTAGGCTCCCGTGCTCTGCACGGGCCCGAGAGCATGCTGAGGCCCGTGCACCCCATACAACATTAGAAAGAGCTTGTGCTTTACTTAAAATCATGAGAAGAACATCTCTCTTGCCTGTGAATTTCTAATACATTGCAGCTCAGTTGAATGGCCAAGTATTTAATTGAGACACACACAATTCCTAAGAATATCTGATCTTGCAACCATGATCTTTTCTACTGCGTGAAAAAAGAAAATCAGCAAAGTCAATTGTCTTCTCAAGAATACATTTGAATTTTTTTTTTTGTTATAAAGGAGCAAATCTTGACTAAAAAAGGCAGCAAACATTTAACTCTACTGGTGCTCATCCCAGTAAATCATCCTAAAAGTACAATAAAAGTAATCTCAACTTTCTTAATTAAGCAAACCACTTCAGCACCAGTGCATTCTATTTGAGTTTTGGTTGCTCGATCATCAGTTAAAGAATAATTTTCTCAAGGAACCCGCCTTTAGTATCTGCAAATTTTATGAGCCCGCTATTTTAAGCATAAAACACATGCTAAATTCAGGTACATGAATAATGATGAACAAAATGCAACAGTACATGAATCATGATGAGCAAAATATAACAGTATACTCCGCACTCTGTCTAAAACCACATATAGTTAAACTATATATTTTCTCTCTACTTGGAATAGATTCCACATTCATGCAATGGATGCCTACGTATAAGAAGAGAAGTTAAGCAAAAAGTAGGTTCATATCTCTCTCCTTCAATCTCGATTTATTAAAACATGGACTTGCAAGCACCTTAAGGTTAAAGATAAAGTAGGCGACAGGAACAGGTAAAAGACACTTGTTAGTATACAACCAACTTTACCAACCAGCCTGCATATTGACAAATATAGCATCTCAAAATTTTGTCAGTTTGTGTATCAATCCAAGGAGAATATAATCATATTTACTCTAAGACCTTAAGAAATGTGCTAAATTGATCATCACTGTCACACTTGTCCTCAGCTGATTCTTTCTCAGAAATACAGATGCCGATTAGAGTCATGATAAATTGTGAATTGGAGCCATGGCAACTCAAAAACAGAATCAACTCACTAAAAGCACATGCTCTACAAAAACTATCAACCAAAGCAAAAGCAACGGCAAAAACACTTTAGGGTGCATGTCACCTAAAGAGTAGCAAGATTTTCTTCAGAGTTCAAAAAGAACAAATACGTCTCTCGCTTTGAAGGATAGCAATACCTCTTTTAATCTGGCGATGATAAGTATTGACATGAAAAGTGGAGCATCTCTATCTTGAGGGGGGAAAAGACTGAATCTCATTAAAACAGGTATTCTTTTTCTTAAGAGAGATTTTGTTTGATTTTTAAGTGAACCATAAGATGGTCGAATGAGAACATAAAGACATGTAAAACACAGAACATATTTTAGTAATAAAATACTTAACACTTTCTAAGACATACCAAATAATTTTCTCTTTTGAGGTATAACTTTCCAAGACATAGCAAACAATTAATGAATAAAGATAAAGAGATGTATAATTGAGACACATCACGTATTTACATCATAACCAACCAGGGGTGGACATTATTGCAGAATTTGGGTAGAGCCTCACATTCGAAAAACAAATTTGAACATTGGATTGGAATTACCTTTTTCACAAGATATTCCCAGGTATCACACCTAACCGTTTATACTTGTCATCGTTGCGTCAATGCTGCAGTGAATCATAATAGAATTGACTGAGAGAAGCAATTGGTAGTGCTATCATAAATATCAAATCCACTTAATCATTATTTGCACATCTTGCAAAATGCTTTCTCTGATTTACCCTTACAATAGAGAACTCAAATATATTTTTCTTATCTGAGTTTCTCATAGGCCTAGCAATCAAACAAATGGAGAAAAATATGAATTGAAAGGATGAACTTGCTCAAATTAGCCAAAAGAGAGCACGTGTATCCAAAGCGTCTCAACCACTATGTGGGAAAGAGTACAATTATGCCTCAATATCATCTATTTTCCTACAAATGCATGAGAAATCCTCAAGTGCTATATAATTCAGTTAAGATTTATTTAGGATAAGATACCTCCTAAATCTCACACAAATTTTCAGCATGGTAGATGTAATCTTTGCGCTCTCCTGGTGAAGAAAATGGCATTGTAGTTTTACAATGGTTCTAAGTATATATAAAGAAGAAATAGTGAAAGTATAAGAGAGAAAAAATCGGTGATATTCTCAACAGAAAAATATCAAGCCAATATAAATAATCTTTTTTTCACACAATTATCACCAATGAAGTTGGACAAAAGTGATAAAAGCTCACCATTTACATGTTAATCTTTGTTCACATATTTTTTTTTTCGCATAGCAATAAGCCAATCTTGGTTTAAATAATATTTTGGTAGCCAAAGTAATTTGTTGCACTTTCAGTATTTTATTCATGTGATATCAGGGAAAATGTGTGAAGTGCAAAAAGATGTAAAACACATGGGAAAAAAAGCTAGACAAAGTAATACTCAGTTGCTTACTTGGTTTAGCTTGAGATCAAAGAAAACGAGCATAGAGTGGTAAATGCCTTCATTCAAACTCTAATTGATGATCCAAGTACTTTGGCTGGTCAATTAGTTGATACCTTTTCAGATATGTACAAAGAATAATACTCAGAAAGAGGCAAGAAAGACAAATTGAAAATCTACCAATAGAAATTTAGTAACAAACATATTAAAAATAAACAAAGATAAGAAGAAATAATGAACCAGCAGCAAACATATGAGAAGGAAAACTTTGCATGAGTTAATTTCTTCCTTCATCTACTATTCTTTGAACTTCTAAGAAATAGTCCATTTTTTTCTTAGTATGTACATATGTAAGGACGTATAGCTCTAACAGAAATGTCTTCTACACATAAGAACTGTAAATCATCTTAATTTTAACTTTTCTTTTGTCAAATTCCACTCTTTATGTGTATTCATTGAATAAAGGTTTTATTTTCTTTGCATGTAGATTCAAATAAATAGAGCTCACTTAACTTCTTATGACACACCAAAAATTAAAGAAAAATAACTAAGAGGTTGTGAGTTCGAGTCTCCTCNGTAAGGACGTATAGCTCTAACAGAAATGTCTTCTACACATAAGAACTGTAAATCATCTTAATTTTAACTTTTCTTTTGTCAAATTCCACTCTTTATGTGTATTCATTGAATAAAGGTTTTATTTTCTTTGCATGTAGATTCACATAAATAGAGCTCACTTAACTTCTTATGACACACCAAAAATTAAAGAAAAATAACTACATCTTAACACCAAATACAGAACAAAATATAATGGACAAACTATTCATAGAAGAAACCAGATAATAAAGCAAATATTTCACCGAATATACTCACCAGAAAAGAGATAACGATTACAAATGGACAGTAAAGGACCAACGCCTGAGACGACGGAGATAGATCTCATACCCTATGCTTCAAAAAAAAGTGAACGATAGTAAAGTAGCAAATACATAAAGCATAAGCTACTATATGGAGATAATCTGACAAATCACCGACAACCATTAGCAATTTTAAGAGAAAATCCACATGCATACAATCCTAGGAACAACAAAACCTACAAATTAGAAAAGGAAAAATCCATAACATCGATTTTCAGCAGATAAATAAGAACTTGATGAGCATTAATTTTCTAACCAAAAATAGACCATTTGTCAATCCCGAAACCTAGCAAACACACATACATCTACAGAACCCAGCAAGAGAGTAGCCAAGAAAAATTAACAAATGCCCACCAAATTAATATAACCAAGAAATAGGGGCAGAAAAAAAAATTACCAGAAATTCAAAATACAGTAGATATCAAAAGGGTTGAGAGAAAGAGCAGAAAATTTACCATTTTACTTCCTAGGGTTGAGATGAGGCGATATTTCCGAGAATAACGAAATCACAGAGAAAGAATTAGGACAAAGAAAAACCCAGGGAACAGACACAAATGGAATAGAAGAGAAGTGACGTGTTAGCTTACTGGACTAGGAGAGAAAAACATTTTCGGAAATGACTAACATGGAGAATACCAATTTTGCCCATAAAACAATTGATATTTACTGTTCTACCCTTCGTCGTACCAAAACGTTCAATATATATATATATATAATAATATATACTAGATGATGTGTGCCCGTGCTATGCCCGAGCATCCGTCCTACATTCTGTCTCCAAATAATAAACCACTAACGCTGCCATACAATACTTTGCATACTTTATTTATTATATATATACTAGATGATGTGTGCCTGTGCTATGCCCAAGCATCCGTCCTACATTTGTCTCCAAATAATAAACCACCAAAACTCTGCCATACAATACTTTGCATACTTGTTTACAACTTGGACAAAGTAGTTAGTTTAGATATCTCTTCATTTGGACACCATCTCACTGCTAAGTTGGTCCGAGTTTATATAAGGTCAATCGACTAATACGCTTTGCTATAGATGTACATAACATGCAAATTCTTCAGCCACCAATCCATATTTTGGTTACAAATGCTTACATGGTGTCTTAGCTATCAATATGCAATCCATATTGTATTGTCTGCAATTGAAATCCAAGTGAGATTCTAAAGTCTAGTATTATCTTTCTCATAAATTAATGGGTATTATTTTTTTCATAATTAGCAGAGTACCCGACATAAAAAAAAATTCCTTCACTTCTGCTTTCACGTAAAGAAAAAAACAATTTATTTCTTCCTCTACTAAGCAGTCAAATCTTTCACGAAACTCAAGCAAATCGCACTGGTCTCACTACAACAAAGAATTACATAACAAAGAAATCAGAAGAATGACAGCAAAGTTTAATTACTGAAAATACCGAGACCTTACCCTCATCTCAGTATCCGTTTCTTCCGCAGTTTCTGCATCCCCACCATGTATTCCATCATATAGAGTCCTCAACATCAGAAGCCAAAAACAGATTGAAGTATACTTTCTGTCAGTGGGCCAAGTAAGTCCGTTGACAAAAGGTTGTCTCTATCTTACTATCATCGTCAAATTACATATATTACAAAATTAAAATTTTTAATACAGGATAAACCACATCGTATTAAACAGCATGATGTATAACATAATTTTGAAAAATAAAAAACTTACCTCTAGTTGGCTAGTACATATCTTCACATTAATGTTAGGATGATTTATGCCACGATATTGAACTCATCTCTTTCACTTCCTTTCATGTCACGACCTCGGTTCGCCCTCCGTGAACCATCGTGACGGCACCTAGTCTCTATGACTAGGTAAGCCTAACAATACGAAAAATAGATAAAATTTGCGGAAGAAATAATTAAAAATCAAAATAGTGAAATAAAACCGTGTTTAAAAGTGCCGCTCGGCATACACAATATCAACTCTCAAAAACTAATAACATTTCTCAAAACCTGGAATCTCATGATCACAAGCCTTTGGAAGTCTACAACCATCTAACTCCAGAATATCTAACAAAGACACAAAGTACAGAAGGGCTAATACAAAAGGGAGAGTAGAAAGGGACTATTCGGTTTGCGAACGCGGCAGATATACCTCGGAGTCTCTACGAACGTCTCGTCTCAAGTGTGATAAGTTTGAGTGGAGGTACCTGGATCTGCACATGAAAAACATGCACAGAAAGGGCATGAGTATACCACAACTGTACTTAGTAAGTGCCAAGCCTAACCTCGGTCGAGTAGTGACGAGGAAGGTCAGGGCCCGACTGAGATTAAATGAAATATAAGAAGCGATAGTATAAGATAAAGCAGTACAGTTGAAAGATAACAATAAGAATCAATACAAGATAATAAGGATAACTACAACTGAAACAGAGGCAAAAACAATCACCAGGAATACCACTCTTCACAAAGATAATAACTGGGGATCTTTTAGTATCCCGAGGATCTCTTAGTACCCTCAATATATACCAGGGATCTCTTGGTATCCTGAGGATCTCTTGGTATCCTCAATATATTCTAGGGATCTCTTGGTATCCTCATTATACGTGCTGGGGATCTCTCGGTATCCCTCACCTCAGCTCAAATCATAAAATACGTATAGGGGATCTCCCGGGATGTCGTCCCGTAGTCCCAAAGTAAAACACACAGCAATAACACAAGGAATACTCAATTAAACTCAATTTCGTACCAAAGTAAAACATGTAATTCTAACCTAACATGCTTCACATAATACAATTACGCCAGTTTAAACAATAAAGCAATTAAGTAAATTAAACATGTTTTTTCTAAGCTAACAACAGACTTAAATTTCAAGTAGAGTAAGCAGGAAGGGAAAACACAATTAAAGCTACTTAAGTGAAAACAGGATTTTCAACAATTAGCACAAGTACGCACTCGTCTTCTCACGTACAAGGCATTTCAATTACCACAATACTAAATTCTAAGGGGAATGTCCCCCACACAAGGTTAGGCAAGCCACTTACCTCGAACCGGCTTAAAGTCAACCCGAAATCACATTCTTGCCACGAGTACTCGACTCCAAATGGCCCAAATCTATCTAATTAAATTGCATAATATAAATAACACTTCAAGTAAATGATTCTACAAAGAAAGTCTAAGCTAATATGCGAAATTAGGTAAAATGACCAAAATGTCCCTCGGGCCCACATCTCGGAATCGGGTAAAATTTATATTTTCAAAACCCTCATACTCTTACGAGTTCATGCATACCAAAATTATCCAAATCCAAGATCAAATTCCCAATCAAAATTCGAATTCTAGGTCTAACAACTTTCTTCCAATTTTTCTCCAATTTTCATCTCTAATCCGAAATTAAATGATAAAACCAACAATAGATTAGTGGAATACAACTAAAAATGGACAAGGAATTGTTACCCAATGATCTTCTCTTCAAAAAACCCCCACAGAATCGCCCTACTCCGAGCTCCAATTCGATTTTTCCAAGTTTTGAACTAAACCCTCGAAATTTCATATTTCTGCCCATCGATTACCGCATCTGCGGTCAAGGGAGCGCACCTACAAAAGCAGGCATCGCATGTGCAAAAATCACTTAACGGGATGGGTCCGCTTCTGCGGTCGCTTGGCCGCATCTGCAGCACCGCATTTGCGAAAACCCAGCCACACCTGCGGTCTTGGAGCTTTGGCCCAAACTAGCTTCTGTGGCCACCTAGCCGCTTCTGCGGCGCCGCAACTGCGGTCCCACACGCACAGGTGCGGTTATGACAGGTTCAGCAAATTCAAACCTTCCTAAGTCTAATTTAATTTTCGTTAAGCACCCGAAACTCATCCGAGGCCCCCAGGACCTCAACCCAACATGCCAGCCAATCCTAAAACATCTTTCAAACTTGTTCCAACCTTCGGAACGCTCAAAACAACATCAAAACACCAATTTAGCATCAGATTCAAGCCTAAGAATTTCAAAAACTCTCAAAATACGCTTTCGAACCCTACGGAGCTACTCCAACTTTCGGAATTCCATTCCGACGCTTGGATCAAAATCTCACNTTTATTTTTGAATTTTTTGGGAGTAATTCTCATATAGGGCAAAAATCACGTGCTTACAACTATCGAACCGGAAACTTCAAGAATTCGACTTTCGGCATTTCAAGCCTAAATTAGCTACGGACCTCCAAAACACAATCCAAACACGCTCCTAAACCCGAAATTACCCAACGGAGCTAACGAAACCATCGGAATTCCATTCCTAGGTCGTCTTCGCACTGTTCCAACTACGGTCAAACTTCCGAAACTTAAGCTCTCATTTAAGGACTTAGTGTCTCAAAACTCTCCGAAACTCCAAATAATTCCTCCCCGCAACTCACAATAGCAGAAACAAACACGGGGAAAGCAGTTATTAGGGGATCAGGGCGTAAATTCTTAAGACGACCGTCCGGGTCGTCACATCCTCCTACACTTAAACATATGTTCGTCCTCGAACGAGCATAGAGACATACCTGAAGTAGAGAAAAGATGAGGGTAACGACTGCGTATATCCTGCTCGGTTCAGGTCGCCTCATCGATCGGCTGACCCAACCACTGAACCTTCACTGATGCAATGTTTTTTGACCTCAGCTTTCTAACCTGCCTGTCCAATATTGCCACTGGCTCCTCAACATAGGATAGATCCTTGTCCAACTGGACTGAACTGAAATCCAACACGTATGACGGATCACCGTGATACCTCCGGAGCTTCAAAATATGAAATACCAGATGAACTCCTGCCAAGTTGGGAGGTAGGGCAAGCTCATAAGCAACCTCCCCAACACGCCTCAATACCTCAAAAGGGACAATAAACCTCGGACTCAGCTTCCCTTTCTTCCCAAATCTCATAACGCCCTTCATAGGCGAAACCCAAAGTAGAACCCGCTCTCCAACCATATAGGAAACATCACGAACCTTCCGGTTCACGTAACTCTTCTATCTAGACTGGGCTGTACGGAGTCTATCCTGAATAACCCTAACCTTCTCCAAAGCATCCTGAACCAAGTTTGTGCCCAATAATTTGGCCTCACCCGACTCAAACCAACCCACCAAGGATCGACACCGCCTACCATATAAAGCCTCATATGGTGCCATCTAAATGCTAGACTGATAGTTGTTGTTGTAGGCAAACTCCGCCAATAGCTAGAACTGATCCCAAGACCCTCCAAACTCAATCACGCATGCACAAAGCATTTCCTCAAGAACCTGAATGGTGCACTCGGACTGTCCGTCCGTCTAAGGGTGAAATGATGTACTCAACTCCACCCGAGTACCCAACTCATGCTGAACGGCCCTCCAGATTCGTGATATGAATTGAGTACCTCTATCTGAAATGATGAAAACTGGAATACCATATAGACGAACAATCTTCCGGATATAAATCTCCGCCAACCGCTCTGAAGAAAAAGTAGTACACACAGGAATGAAGTGTGCGAACTTGGTCAGCCGATCCACAATCACCCAAATAGCATCGAACTTCCTCAAAGTCCGTGGGAGACCAACTACAAAGTCCATGGTGATCCGCTCCCACTTCCACTCTAGAATCTCTATCTGCTGAAGCAACCCTCCCAGT